TCAAAATATCTTGTTCCAACTTTTAAATTAGGACAAGAAAGTGTAATGGTTTGGGGTTGTTTTACAAAAAATAAGCTTGGACCATTAGTGAGATTAGAAGATAAAATAACAGTAAAAATTTATATAGAAATGCTGAAAAAAATTTAATTCCATTTATAAATAGTTTAGAAAATAGTAATAATTATATTTTTCAAGAAGATAATGTTCCAATTAATACTGCAAAAATAGTAAAAAAATGGAAGGAAAATAATAATATTACAAGTTTTCCATGACCTGCACAAAGTTCAAATTTAAATCCTATAGAAAATTTATAGAATGAATTAGATAGAAAAGTCAGGTCACATAAACCATTATCTAAAAATAAAGATAATTTATGGCAAATTTTACAGGAAGAATAGGTTAAACTTGAAAAAGATAAATATAATAATCTTATTAATAGCATGTCAAATCGTATTGTTGCTGTTATTGAAAATAAAGGTTTTCCACAAAATATTAATAAATAAATTAATCTATCAAATTGAATTAAAAAGTTTGAAATAATTATTAAAGGTTGCTACATATAAAAGTTTTTTATTTACTAAAATATTGATAAATATAATACTATGTAATATTAAAGTTAAGAATATTTTACATCTTGTGTAAAGAATTCAGATTTTTTTTAATAAAAAGTGAGTAAATAATGAGTGATCAAATTCCAAAGAATAATTTTTAAATGTCCGATATTTAGTCGTTGATATTAAATTCAATTCACAAGAATAAATTCTAAAAACTTCATAAAAGATGTTCCATATTCTTAGCTATAAGATTAATTAATAACATATTTACTATTTCATTAATATATTATTAACTTTTATATGTAGCAACTATTGATAGTTATTTCGAATTTTTTAATTAATATTACTGTTAATCATTTTATCATTGATATTTTTTAAAAAATCTGAAAATAATTTACCAAAAGGTTGCTACATATAAAAGTTTGTAATTTATTAATAAAACATCAAATATAATACTAATAATTCTTATAGCCAAGAACATGAAGCATATTTTATGAAGTTTTTAGAATTTATTCTTGCAAATTAAATTTAATATCAATGGTTGAACATTGGATGTTTAAAAATTATTCTCTGGAATTTAATCATTCATTATTCACTCAATTTTAATTGAATATTTCTAAATACTTCAGAAAAGATGCTACATATTCTTAGCTATAATATTACTTAGTATTAATTTTATTACTATTTTAGTAAATAAAAAACTTTTATATGTAAAAATAATTGACAATTATTTTCGTATTTTTTTTTATTTTTTTAAAATTTTTAATAAATTTCAGTCGTTTTTATTCATGTCTAAGTAAAGCCTAAATTTTCAATAAATACTATGAAAAATGCTACTAATTAAAGTTATAGATATTGTTTCTGGTTACAATTCAATATAAGATAGTTGGCATCTATCTTTAAAATCCATCGATTCTGATATGGACAACGATTAAATGTTAAATTTATCATTTTTTGTCAATTTTATTTGAAGTGTAATTCCTCTACATGTAGACATTTAGTTTTAACAAAAAATATATTATATGATAACCCTGCTTTAGAGAAAACTAAAAAAAAAAGTTTGTGCAATTTAGATCACTTGTTATGGCACAATTAGCATTATAAATTTAGTAATTTTTTTAAAAATATTCAACTGTCTGGTGACTTTTGACCACCCACTGTAATCACAAAAACTTACGAAAAGTTGTAACTTCTGGAGTAATGGATAAATATGTCATATCAGTTAAAACCTTGATATGTAGAATATTATATTATTTCTTTAAATTTTTTTTAAATATTTAAATTAATATTTAAATTAATAATAGATTTTTTCACAAGAAACTTGACAAAATGATCTTGTTCAATGGATTGTTTCAGATGACCAACCTTTTACTGTGGTTGAAGGTGATTTTTTCAAAAATATAATAAAAAGATTAAATTTTGAAGCCAAATTATCTACTGGTGATACTATACGAAATAGTATTTTTAAATCTTTTGAAAATGAACAAAAAAAATCAAAAATGAATTGCAAGAAACTTCTGAACATATTTCTTTTACCCTTGATGGATGAACTTCCAAAAATAAAATATAATTTCTTGGTATTGTGTTGCACATTGGATTTCTAAAGATTGGAAATTAAAAGTGTAATTCTTGATTTTAAAAAATTAGATGGTTCACATTCTGAAGAAAATATTGCTAATGTTTTTTTTAATACAATTAAGGAATTCAATATTGCAACAAAGGTTAACTTATTTTGTTTATTTTATTTATTTATTATTTTATTTATTTATTTATTTTTAATTTATTATTATTTAATTTATTACTTTTAGATATTAGCTGTTACTACTGATAATGCTAGTAATATGGATACTATGTTTAATTATTTAGATATTTTTTGTTCAGATGAAGACACTGACTTTAAATCTGAAGATCTTCATTTGGTGCTTGACACATATAATTAATCTTGTAGCACAAGATACTTTAAAGTCTCTAAAAGGAATGGGTCCAAAAAATGAAGATGTATTATTAGATTCTATTAATGAAAATTCTTTGGATATTATAGAAAAATTAAGAAAATTAGTAGTTAAATATGAGCTTCTCCACAGCAGCATGATAAACTTTGTCAACAATGTAAAGTATTAAATATTAAAGATCTTCAATTAATTCCTGATGTGAAAACAAGGTGGAACTTGACATATGACATGATTGAAAGAGCATTAATTCTTCAAGAGGTAAAAATATTTTATCAAATTTTTATAATTATTTATATTTTTATACAAATATTAGTTTGTTTTTTATTAGCCTCTTCATAATACAGCATCTGCTGATCAGAATTTATCATTATATTTGTTACAAGAAAATGAATGGAGTCAGTTAGAAGAAATAAAAAAATTATTAGAGGTATAATTTATTTAATATAATAATTTTGAATTATATTTTAAATTACAATATTATTTTATTTTTATAATAGTGTTTCAAAATTGCAACTTTAGAAATGAGTACAGCAAAGCTTCCAACTTTTAACCAACCCATTCCTGTCTATGATTATTTATTTGAAACTATCACAGAATTTCAAAAAAAAAATAATCTAATATTAATGAGGCTACCAATTTTGCTTTACAAAAATTAGAAAATTATTATTCAAATTCAAATGGACTTGTTTATATAATTGCAACAAGTATAATTTTTTTTTTTTTTACAATTTCATAACTTTTATTAAAATTTTAATTAATCTATATTTATACAGTTTTGGATCCTAGATTAAAATTAACATATTATAAAGAAAATAATATTGATAACAGATATATTAAAAGTTATAAACAAAAAATAACTAATTTATAGAATGAGAAATATAAACCCACTGGCAACAAAGAAATAGATGAATCCTCATTTAAACTTAATACTTTATCTGCTCATATTTTTAAAAAAAGAAAAATTGTATATACAGATGAATTATGTTCATATTTAAAAGAACTTCCATCAAATCATGATATGGATATTCTAATGTATTGGAAGGTAATGGTTAAAAATCAGAATTGAATATAAACATTGAAATTTTATTTTATTATATTATTTTAATTTTTAATTCATATAGCTTCATGAGACTGAATATCCTAACCTTGCAAAAATGGCTTATTATTTTTTATTAATTTCCGGTATATTTTTAATATTTATTAAATTAATTTATTATAAATTATTTTTTTAAATTTATTTTATTTTAAACAGGAACAAGTGTTCCAGTTGAAAGAATATTTTCAGGTGGTACTGATTTAATTACACAAAGAAGAGGTAGTTTAAAACCTGATACTATAAGAATGTGTATGTGTTTAAAAGGGTGGTTAAAATTAGAAAGAAATATACATGAAAATATGTAAATTTTTATAATATTTTGAAAAATATTATTTATATAAATAAAATTATATTTAAATTTTTACAATTTTTATATATAATTATTTTTTTAAACTTATAAGAATTACTCTTGTAACAGGTTTATATTATAATTTACTATAATAGTTAAACAAAACTCTGACAGAAAAAAAATTTTTGAACCATTTTGAACTGGTGCAAACTGGTTCAGTTCAGTTTGGTTCCAGTTCGGTCCAGTTCAATTTTTAAATTTCAGTTCCAAACCGAAACCAGTTTTTAAATTTTGGTTCAGTTCCAGTTCAATGTTAGAACTGAACCAAACTGTTACATTAGGAGCTTTACTTGGGATTTATAAAATAAAATAATAAAAATCGTTCACAGCTCAAAATTTTACAATGTCAACTACCAATATATGCATTTTTGAATCTACTAGAACTTATTCTATTTCTTTTCTATAAAGCTCGATATAGTTATTTTCTTTTTTGTTTTTTGTTATTTTTAGTTCAATTTAGCAATAAAGAACTTTAGTTAGTAACGACTAACAATATTTGTGTAACAGATTGTTTTCAAGCTAGTATTTATTTTCAAGTCCATAGTATTTATTTTCTTTAAAATCTTCAGCATTGTGTAATGATGGCTTTGTGATTAAAAGATCTCATGTAACGACAGTGCATTGAAAGCCTTCTAATGAGAATAAATTTTATTATTCTATGGTCAGGAAACTCTTTGCCACATTATCTTTTCACCAGGTAATCATTTGAAAGTAGGGGGTTTACAATATTTTATCCTGGCGAAAGTAACTTGTTGCTGATAACCAAAAATGAAAGGACTCATTTTTTTTAGCTAGATGAAAAGTACATATCAACAGATTGCTTTTTCCAATCATGATCGTTGTTTTGATCAAGATCCCGTCTCTTTGAGATTTATAAAAATAAAGAAAAATAAAAACCATTAACAACTCAAAATTTTATTATATCAACTACCTTTTAATCTCTAAATAAAAAGGTTCAGCATAAAATTTTACATACACTTATTATTATTTTTATATTACTTTATTATGTGAATAAATGCTTGACCTTCGTTTAAATATTTGACTATACGTCAAAAACCTGCCAATATGCATTTCGAATCCACTACAACTTAAAATAGATAAAATTCAAGTTGCTAATACAATGACCTATTTTATGTTATTTGATGTAAACCCAAATTCGCGACTGCTATAAATAATTTTTAAACCAGTTGATTTGAAAAATACTCCATAATTTTTAATATTATTAATGAAATGTTCATATATCATAATTTTAAAATTACTTATTTATGATTTTAATATAATATAGAGAATTACAATGAACAATAGCGCACAAAGTAAAGAACATTTAGTATAAGTTGAACCACTAAAACCTGCAGATCCGATAGATTGTAAAATTGGGATGATACTATACGCTGCGGTTCCGCAAATAGACATCAATGTTGCTGCTGAAGAACCAGCATAAACTCCTTCTCGAAAACCCTTACATCGAATTATCATCACAAAAATTTTAAGTGTAATGCAACCAACCACAGCTCCGATAACTGTGATTACAATATAGCTCATAACTTTATGCTCATTTACAAAATCTTTGATGGACTCAGTGATGTTTGAAAAGAATTCCTTGAGGGTTGAAAAGAATTCCTTGGTACTAGAGGTAACTTCATTAATTAATGGTAAAGCTACACTGATAGATGGGATAGATGGAAAAGTTAAATTGACAGACGTAAAATTTGAAACAAAATCATTATAAGATTTTTTCTTCGAGGAATGTTTCATGATCATCATTATTGTACGATTGAATTTTTCTACGGATATGAACAATGCAAAACACCCACCATGGCGAAAGTAAAAGGACAATAACTGTTATTAATAAACAAAAATGAGAGGATTTCATTTTTTTTAGCTAGATGAAGAAGATACAAAACCAAACATATGGCTGATTCGAAAGTAAATATCAGCAGATTGTTTTGACTTTTTATATTTTTATCCAATCAGATCATTGTTTTGATCAGCTCATCTTGAAATTTATAAACAAAATTTTTCGATGCCAACTACCAATATGTATTTTCGAATCTACTACAATTTATTCTATTTTTTTTTCTCTAAAGCTCAATATAGTTATTTGCTTTTTGTTTTTTTTTTTTTTTTTTTTACTTTTAGTTCAATTTAGTAATAAAAAGAACTTTAGTTAGTAGTCAAAGGTGTCCACTTTACAATATCTGTGTGACAGATTGTTTTTCAAGCCCACATGCATAGTCAAAGCCCATAGTATTTATTTTCTTCAAAATCTTCAGCATTGTGTAATGGTAGTTTTATGTAACGACAGTGCACTGGAAGCCTTCCGATGAGAATAAAATTTTATTATTCCAAGGTTATGAAACTCTATTTGTCACATATTATTTTTTCACCAGATAATTATTTGAAAGTAGAGGTTAACAATATTTTATCTCACCCAGGGTGAGGAATAATATTTAATATATGTATAATATTTGTTATGTTAATAATTTAGATAATATTCGGGAGAAGGGAAAACATAAGCATTTAGAATTTAGAGAGAGAGAAATATTTTTTGATAGCTAAAGTCCTCAGATTATTTAAATAGATAATATATAAGTTACTCTTTTGATGTAAAACCAAACTCACGACCTGCAATAAATAATTTTTAAACCACCATAATTTTTAATAATATTATTATCAATGAAATGTTCATATATCATAATTTTAAAATTATTCCACTATAACTTATTTACGTTTTTAACTTATGAATATAGAATATATGTATAAAATTATAATGAACAATAGCGCACAAAATAAAGAGCATTTAGTATAAGCTGAACCATTGAAACCTGCAGCACCGCGAAATTGTAATTTTGGGACGATACTCCGTGCTCCAGTTCCGCAAATAGACATCATTTTTGCTGCTGGAGAACCAGCAAGGATTCCTACTTGAAACCCGATACCTTTAATTATCTTCACAAAAGCCACTGGTGCAAAGTAACCAACTATTGCTCCAATAATTGCGATTACAATAAAGCTTATAACTATGAAATGCTCATTCACAAAATCTTTGATATGAGAGAATGTTTCATTCATAGGAGGGAAAGATGGCAAAGTTATATTGATAGATGGGATAGATGGAAAAGTTGCATTGATAGATGGAAAATTTGAAATAAATTCATCATTATTATTAGATAGAATTTTTTCTTCAGGGAATGAGGTTGTTTCGTGATCATCATTATTGTTAAATTGAATTCTTTCTTTAACGGATATGATAATTTGATTGTCATAAGAGATATCGTTGAGTTTTTTGAATTTGTTATCAATTGGCAATGCAAAACACCACCATGACGAAAATAAAAGGATAAAAACTGTTGTTAATAAACAAAAATGAGATAATTTCATTTTTTTAGCTAGATGTTGAAAGATGTTGAAGGATGGTGAAGATACAATTGTTTTCAAAATTAAATAGTATTTATTTTCTTAAGGTATTCTTTTTATTCTTTATTGTGTGTTAATGATCTAAAAAAGGATCTCGTGTAACGATAGTGGCATCCCCAAAAATGGGTAATTCGTGTTTTTTGGACCTTTGATTGTATCAAATTACAATTTGGAAACAATAGCGAGTTTATTACATAATGCAACTAAAGAAAATAATCACATGAATGAATACATATTTTGAATAATTTAATGCATGTCATGTTTAATATTTAAACAATGTACATAGCATAGATGTAAATTTTAATCTATTATAATATTTTCGATATGCGATACAACCATTTAAGAGATAATATAAGAAAAATATGATCTAATTATCTAAACATTTTTGTCATTATTAATTGTCGTAATTTGAGTAGTAGTAGTTACATCAACATTTACTATAGTGATTTCGGACGTATTTTGAGAAGATTTTTCAGATGCCTTTGAAAGATTATGATTTTTATTACGGTTATTTGAAGATTCTTGAATAGTTTCTTCTCCTTCTTCTTCTTCTTCTTTTCCTTCTTCTTCTTCTTCTTTTCCAGTTTGAATTCTCTTATTAGATGCGGTACTAGGAATATCAGATGACTCTGTACCCAATGTGGAATCTCTACCTTCAGAAGTCCATCCTTCATTTAATACATAAAATATAGCATTTCCTATTCCCTATATGATTTATATTAAAGAAATAAAGAAAGATATAAATAAACTTGAATATTAAATATTAAAGAAGAAATGATATATAATAATCACATACTCCAAGATTAATTGATGCTACGACTAAAATAAATGTCCAAATTTCTTTTTTCTATGAACGAGAATATAATTAAATTATTAATTAAATAAATTAAATAAAATTATTATAACAAAAAAAAAAAAAGTTAAACAAAAAATAAACATAATAATTAAACTTACATCCATAATTATACTAATTTCGTAAGGAAAGCTTGGAATCTTTAAAAATAAATTTAAATTAATCGCACGTTAATGATTTTTTTTTAATGTGACGATATTACCATTTACAATTACCAATAACTCACCCATTGTAGAATGAATACTAAAATATAACCAGCAACTTTTCTTGTCACTCTTGCCTCAATTTGTTCAGTTCTACTAAGAATATTTTTACAATAATTATTTGTTGCTGCATTCTTTTCGACACTATCACCACCACGAACACGACTACCATTAACACCATTACCATTAACACCACTACCAATAATCCCACTATTACTAAAATTTGATGTGTTTTTTTTGACACCTCTTATTTCCATTATGGTATTGTAGTAACAAAAAGTACAAGTTCCTATTACACTAATTGATAATATTAATGAGAAGATTGGAACATATGTTGAACTTATTCTTGCCGCGCACCTACGAAATATATATGTATATGTTTGGAATAGATGAAAAAAAAAGATAAAGATAAAAAGATTAAAAGATGAAAAAAGATGAAACTTCATTGCTTTAAACATGTTTAAATGAAAATATGTACCAATATTCGGTGGGACCATAACTTTTATATCCAGAAGCTGTTAACAAAGTTGATGCAATTCCTGCTATTAACCATATCTTCCAATCATATGTACCATAGTTATAATAAACTTTTCGGCATACTCTAAAATAATTTATTAAATAATAATTTATCAAAAAATAATTCAAGGAAAAAAAAAATAATAATTTATTATCTAAATAATCACAATGTCTTTTTACCTTAAATAAGTTATAATTGCAATACCAGCAACCATAAATCGTGTAAAATAAATAATTCCTATATTCAAGCCAGCTATGAGACTACAATATGGTTGAGGTATTATTTTCAAATATACCGTTGGATATATCTAAAAATATTATTTAAAATGTCACATGCATAGAATTATAAATATCACAAGTGGAACCATAAATATCACAAAACAATATCAAAAAATTTTATATAACGTTACAATATTGATGAATTCAATTGTCAGTAATAAGACATCTAAAAAAAAATAATAATAATTAAGATCAATACAAATTCTCAGCGAAAATAAATAATAATAATATTATTATTATTTTACCCATTAATCCTAAGTAGAGAGGAACTCTTAATGCCATGGAAAATTTTCTTTTATTACTACGCCATCTTAAAAATATCCGCACCAGTATGAATACAACCGAAATTAAATTCAACAAAATGAATACATAATTAACCGAATATATTAATATGAATCCTTCAGTGTCGTCTATTAATAAAATAATATATATATATATAAATACGTATACGTATATACATTTACGTATGAATAAGTGATAAATATATTTATAATATTTTATTCGTTTGTTAAAAAAAAACTTACTTAAAGCAATAGTTGGTGATGGTGTAGATGGTGAAGTTGTTGATGGCGAAGGTGATTCTTGGCATAATGAATTTTTTATTAATGAAATTAATGTAATTAGAATTATCAAATTTAAGGATACCATTTTATTTATTTATTTATTTTATTTATTAAAATGGTCAAAATAAAAATATCGCGTTTATTTTAATGAAAAAAAAAAGAAAAAAAAAATAATAATGAATGGAATTTTTTTTCATATAATAGTTGATTATATATTAAAAAAACGAAATATTAATTAAAGGCGATCAGTCGACAAATCTTTACGGTTTCGTTCTAGAGCTTTATTTATATCCATTTCCGCAATCCCCGAAGACAAATTGTTTTAGTCGAATTTTCAATGCCTAATTCCTATTTGGATTGGTTTTTAAAATTGAATATCATTAATATCCTTTAATATCATCACGTTGATGATTTACATATTACATACATATATTAAAAAAGATTAAAAAAAAAATCCTATAATAATAACTATTGTAATTGTTATTATATTTTTTTTATATTTATTATATTTTTTATTATATTATCTTTTACATATTACACATATATTAAAAAGATCAAAAAAAAAATACTATAATAATACTATTGTAATTGTTATAATTATTGTTATTATATTTTTTTATATTTATTATATTTTTTATTATATTATTGTTATTGTTATTGTAATTATTATCATCGTTCTCGACAGAAAGATCTAAAATTATTTTTATGTATAAATTTATCAATTTTTTGCAGCATAAAAATATTCGTTACAGGAATTGAGTATTAAGCAATGTTAAGTCAAAGCGCAAAAACTATTAAAAAAAAACTTTTAAATGAAACATGTTAAAGCTTATTATTTCTTATTATCGGTAAATTTTCCGTCTGAAAAGATTGTGGTTATCGTTAGTTAATTATCATCTTTACTAATCGTCACTTAACCTTCGAATAATCCTTATTCCCATTTTTATCATTTTTAATGTATCACTATGTCGTCGCGACATTTTATCCTCTAATCAATACAAAATATAATGTAAGCATAATAATATTTGCTTAAAAATCATTACATTTTGCAGTTTATAGGACAACCCGCACGCACATATTATTTATTTATTTTCAGTCTATTTCAATATACTTCCAACATATTTTCGACATAAATATATTCGCTGACTTATTAAGAAAAATATTGCATAAATAAACTTTGCTTAGAATTAAGTAAGAAAAAAAAAGGCAGTTTCAGTTCTTGTGCGAAAAAAGAAGATTGGTAATTTTTTTTAAAAAAAAATCTTAGATAATAAAATTATTCATGTCATGTTACAAAAAACCATTGGTTCAACTAACTCGGTGTTACTAGTATAATATTTAATTTAACTTAAAATATTTAAAGTTTTAAATCATGAGAACCAATAATGCAGATTAATACAATAAAATTTGATAAATATGGTAAATTGTGTAATTTTAATCAAATCTTTTTTCTAATCATATCCATATCTGTTACACTTTCTCCATGATTTTTTAATGGATTGCTTTTTCAAATCTTTATTTCTATGTAATCTTTCTATATGTAATATTTTAATACACAACATATCCCCCAAATACAGATAATATTTTTTTGCAGAATAAACAATGTTCAAGATCAAAATATTTGATTATGTATTTTTTGTCTGTGCTAATGACGCACGAACCATGCAAAAAAAAAATATACTTATTTATTTATTTATTTTACGGTTAATGATACTGTATTAGTAACTCTTCATACCTATATTTATTTGAAAACGTTTTTAGATGAAATTCCCGAGCGAAATGTTAATTAATATAAATATTTATATAATTTATATACATTTAATTTAATTTAAATATACTAAATTAAGTAATATCATAAAAAAAAAAAAATACCAGGCATACATATATATAGAATTATATGTATATGATATAATTGGTTAATTCGATTCTTTACATAATAAATATATTTTAATTTAACCAGATATCAAAATGAAATTTATAACACGTGTATTTTCATTACTGGCATGTAGTTTTAATTTCTGAATATCACTCTTTAAAAAATCTCCGTTATTACCTTTAATTTTATAATTAAAAAAAAAGTGTACTAGTAATGATCATTTCTTTTATTATAGACAAAATGATTCTCAGATTGTCATAAAATTAATAAATATATCCTAGACCTGTCAAAACTTCATATATCATAAATAGAAAATTTTTAAAACCAAAAATTAAATTTAATTTATTAATTGTGTCAGTTTATTTTGTTAGTGTCATTCAATAAATTTGAAAAATTAAGAATTTCTTATTTAAATATTAATTGATGTGAGAAAAATTATAATTTTGTTTGTGCCGTACGGAAATAATGACCAATTTTTTTCTCCTTAATAAAGTTTCCAAACAGATACCAAATCAGAAGATAATTTATACTAACGATTCTTATTTAAATTTTAAATTTTAGGCTAAATATCATTCTTTATAATGAAATCTCTGCTGTCACCTTTAAATAATTCAATAATATTTCTAATAATAACATTAAGCACATTAATAAGAAATTCATTATGTCAAGATTTAACATCAATCCAAAATGTTAATACTACAATTACAACTAATGAGACAAATAACAATGTAATAATGACTAATGGATCAGATATTTGTATGCTAACTTTTATAAATATATTTTCTTTGTTTATTCTTTTATTAAATTTATTAAAAAAAAATTTTATATAATGACATGATATTCCAGGATTCATATTAGTGTACGTAACTTCCTTTACATTTATGACATTCAATGCAATTGAAATTACATATATGATGGTGCAAATATATCTAAGATGGTCTTATACAAAAAGGACGTTATCTGTGGCGATAAGAGTTCTTCTTTATTTGGGAATTCTAGATGTTATGATATTGATAATATCATATATTGATCTTGTAAGTATTTTAATTTTACATACGTGAAATAATTAAACTACATTAATGTGATATATATTTTATATATGATTACATATGTGAAAAGATATATCCCGTAATTAATCATTCCCAATGGAAAGAACTATTTTGGCTGGTGTATCAGTAGCAATCACAATCTTGAAACGAAACATGGTTGTTATTATCGCTATTATAACTTACTTAAGGTAAAAAAAATATTTTTTTTTATTTCTTTAGATATATAAAATAGATATATTGAATCAATTCAATTATTTGAGTAAACAGAATATGTAGAGAGATTTATTGGAATTACGGTAAATTCGATTGGAAACTATGGACAATTGCAGGATCTATGACTGCTATTCTATCATTTATGGGTACTAGAGGTTATGGCGCCAATAAATATTGGTAAGATACAATAAGTAGTACGGCTGTTTCTTTGATTTCACTTTCATTATCGTTGGCTGTGGTATCAGTTTGTATTTTTTGTTATTCTAATATTATTCTTGCTGTAATAGTACAAAAATAAATACAAGAGAAACAGCTAATAATAACAATATTGAAACGGAAGATTCGATAGTATCTTCTGAGTTGAAGTTAGAAAGTTTCAAGTTACAACATATATTAGTGTATTTTTTTTTTGGTAAATTTACACGTGACTAAACTATAAGTAATTGTAACGTTAATCAAATATTAGGTGAGTAAAAATTATAATTTGTAACAAACTTCGAAATTCAATTAACTATTTTTCTATAGAGAGAACATATGCATTAGCTATAGCATCAATAAATCTTGGGATAATTATTTATTTATATTCATTTATGTTACAAATATTTATATTTATATTTACTCGATATTAAATATATACACACTTATATTACATAATATAAATGAAAAAGGTCGAAAAAAAAATGACATCTGATTCAAAGTAAATACAAATGTCAATGGTATCTTTTTATTAACAAGTTGTGAATTTCTTTTTAACAGAAAGAAAAATCAAACTTAAATTAATAATAAAAAAAAATTCATCATAAATTCCTTTCAAATATTCTTAATTAAACCTTAAAGACTTTAAATTTCTTTATTTAATGGTGCTAATGATCCTGAAGTTAGAATCCAAATTCCGAGTTCGCTTGTAGGGAACATAATAAAGAAATATCAAAAGCATTAATAAACATTAAATATTATAAATGTTATTTTTAGATAAAAGTTTTTGAGAAACAGTGTAAGAGTTATAGCAAATTAATTCTCTAAAATGAAAGCATCTTTTTACAAAGTATAACTTTGTTCTATGTTTCGGAAATTTTCAATGAACTTTCTTGTCATATGACCGTGTTGTGTGCAAAAACAATGAATAAATAAAAAACAAATTAAGCCAAACACGAAAATCTTATAATCTATTACATAATAACTTTATAACTTTGAAATACAAAAAAAAAATAACAAGGTTGTATGGTATATTCGTATGTCCTAGTTGTAACATCAAAAAATATCAAAAATATGTAAAGTAAACTGGCTCTAATAATATGTGGATTATCAAAAGTATAAATAAGCAGGACGAATTTCTTGATGTTCAAAATTCATATTACACGTTTCTATATTTTTATATATTTATAGGTTGAATGACATTCTTTAAAAAATGAGATCTCCGTCGTTTCCTTTAAATAATTCAATAATTTTTTTAACAATAACATTAAGTATACTAGTAAGAAATTCATTATGTCAAGATTCAACATCAATCCAAAATGTTAATGCTACAACTACAACTAATGAGACAAATAACAATGTTATCATAGCCAACGAGACAGATATTTGTATGTTAACTTTATAAATATATTTTCTTTGTTTATTCGTTTATTAAAATTTTTTTTATAATGACAGATAATACTCCAGGATTCATATTAGTGTTCGCAACTTCCTTTACATTTATGACATTCAATACAATTGGGGTTACATATATGCTGATACAAATATATCTAAGATGGTCTTATACAAAAAGAACGTTATCTATGGCAATAAGAGTTCCTTTTTATTTGGGAATTTTAGATGCTATGCTTTTGATAACGTCATATATTAATCTTGTAAGCATTTTTACATTTTATACTGGAAATAACTAAACTACATTAATGTGATGTATATTTTCTATATTATCACATATGTGAAAAAAGACATATCCCCTGATACAAATTCACAATGGAAAGAACCATATTGTCGAACTTTCGCTGGTGTATCAATAGCAACCACAATCTTAAAACGAAACATAATTGTTATTATCGCTATTGTAACTTACTTAAGGTAAAAAAATTATTTTATTTATTTCTTTAGATATATAAAATAGATATATTGAATCAATTCAATTATTTGAGTAAACAGAGTATGTAGAGAGGTTTATTGGAATTACGGTAAATTCGATTGGAAACTATGGACAATTGCAGGATTTATGACTGCTATTTTATCATTTATGGGTGCTAGAGGTTATGGCACCAATAAATATTGGTAAGACACAATATTATAAAATGCCAATTCATTTTTTAAATATCAATGATGATAATAATATAATAATGATAATAATATAATAATGATAATAATATAATAATGATAATAATATAATAATGATAATATAATAGGTGTAGTACAAAAGCAAGTACTATGTCTGTTTCTTTAATTTCACTTTCATTATCGTTGGTTGTGGTATCAGTTTGTATTCTTTGCTATTCTTGTATTATTCTTACCGTAAGAGCAATAAGAATAAATAAAAGAAAAGAAGCTGATAAGAATATTGATACAGAAACTTCGACCATATCTAATATACCTATGCCTTCTGAAGTTGAAGTTAGGGTTATAAAAAAAATTTCAAGTTATTTATTAGTATATATTATTCAATGGTGAATTTACACGTGACTAAACTATAAGCAATCGTAAAATGTAAAATAATAAATTTTCTCAATTCCATATTAGGTGTGAGTGAAATTTATAATTATAATTCATAGATTTATAGTGAAGAAATTCGATTCTAATTATTAATCTATTATTTTATCATAGAACGAAACTGCATCAATGCATTTGGGGTAATTAATATAAATACGCTTAAAATGAAACCGACAAAAAATAATAAATTTATTCTTAGATCGTTACCTATTCCACATTCGATGGGTATTAAAGATAGATACCAACTATCTTAAACGAAATTGTAGCTAAAAATAATATCTACAATTTTAATTATTGATGTTTTTCTCGGTACCTAATAAAAAATTTGACTTCACTTAGACGTGAATAAAAACGACCGAAATTTAATAAAATTTTAAAAAAATAAAAAAAATTGAAAATAATTATATCGATCGTTTATACCTGAAAAACTTGATTATTTATTAACTTAACGATAAATGTGATATTAAGTCACTTAAGGCCTAAAATATGGAGCATCTTTTGTAAAAATTTCAACCTTATATATTAAGAATTGAGAGAAAAATACACGATTAAACTTTAGAGTATAATTTTGAAATGTCCGATATTCAACCGTTAATATTAAACTCAATTCTCAATTTCAGAATCTGAAATTTTCACAGTAAATATTCCACATTTTAAACTTTATCTATTAATATAACAATAAAAATAATACTAATTGCAGTTAAAGAAGTTTTAATATATGGTTCAGATTGGTAATTATTTTTCGGATTTTTTTTTTTTGATTTTTTAAAAATGATCGACACGGATTTAAAATTCCAAACGATCGTTATATTTTCAATTTTTGTTAAAAAATTTTAAAACTTTTACAGCAGATGTATTCAATTTTTATCTTTAATGTTACTTAGTTTAACTTTTACTATTTTATTATTAAAAACAA